TTATGTCTAGTTTCTTTCATATAACATCATGTTTTCAAGGTTCACCCATATTGTAACATTTATCAGTACTCCTTTTTATGACTACACAATGTTCCATTGTATAGATATACCACCTTGCTTAACCATTGATCAATTCGGAAGTTTGGGTTTTTCCCACTTTTTGGTTATTAAAATAGTGCTGCTATGAATATCTGTATAGATGTTTTTGTTTAGACATCAGTTTTCAATTCTTTTGGATATAGAGTTGTTGGGTCATATAATAGAATTGTTGGGTCATATAATAATTCTATTTTTAACTTCTTGAGGAAATGCCAGACATTTTCCCTATTAAGAACTGTACTTTTACATACCCAACATCAGTGTATATGAGGTCTCCCAATTTCTCTGCATGCTCAACATTTGTTGTTTTCCTTTTTTTAATTATAGCCTTTGAGTGGGTGTGAAGTGGTATCTCATTGTAGTTTTGATTTGCATTTCCCTAGTGACTAATAATAATGAACATCTTTTCATGTTGCTTTTTTGGCCATATGTATATTTTCTTAGGAGAAATATCTATTCAAATCTTTAGTCTCTTTTTTTAATAAGGGTTTTTTTTAAATAGGTTATTGTCTTGTTGAGTTATACTTGTTCTTTATATATTCTGAATGCTAGACCATAAGATTCATGATTAGTAAATATTTTCTCCCATTCTATAAGTTGTCTTTTCAAGCTTTCTTGATGCACAGAAGATTTTAATTTTGATGAAGTCTACTTTGTCTAAATTTTCTTTTGTTTCTTGTGCTTTTGGTACCATATCTAAGAACCCATTATGAAAACCAAGGTGTAATGAACATATACCCCTATATTTTCTTCTAAGAATTTTAGAATTTTAGCACATACATTTAGGTCTGTGATGCATTTTGAAATAATTTTTGTATATGGTATGAGGTAAGGGTCCAACTTCATATTTTTAAATATGAATATCCAGTTCTGGCACAATTTATTGAAAAGACTGTCTTTCTCCCCTTAATTGTCTTGGCAATTTGTCAAAGATCAATTAACTATAAAGGTAAGAGAGTTTATTTCTGGATTCTCAGTTCTGTTCATTTGGTCTATATGTCTGTCCTTATGCCAGCATACACTGTTTTGATTACTGAACCTTGGAAGTAAGTTTTGAAATTGGTAAGTGTGAGTCCTCCAACTTTCTTTTTCAGGATTGTTTTGGCTATATGGAGTCCCTTGAGATTCCATATGGATTTTAGGATGGGTTTTTCTATTTCTGCAAAAAGCTTGTTATGATTTAATAGGGATTGCATTGAATCTGTAGATTCTTTTGGGTAGTATTGCCATCTTAACAATATATAACTTTCTATTTATGTCTTCTTATGTTTTTGTAACTTTCAGTGTACAAATCTTGCACCTCCTTGGTTAAATTTATTCCTTAATATTTTTATGTTATTTTAAGTGGGATTGCTTTATTAATTTTCTTTTTTAATTTTTCAATTTTAGTGTATAAAAATACAACTTATATGTGTTCTTTATGCCTGGAATTTTTCTGAATTTATTAGCTAATAGTTCTTTCTGTGGATTCTTCAGGATTTTATATATATAAGATCATCATCATGAGAAGAGATAACTTCTAGTACAATGTTGAAAAAGTGATGAGAGCAGACATCCTTGGTCCTGATCTGAGGGGGATGTTTTCCATCTTTCATCATTAAGTTGGATGTTAGCTATGGGTTTTTCATACATGCCCTTTATCAGACTGTAGAAGTTGCCTTCTATTCCTAGTTTTCTGAGAGTTTTTATTATGAAAGGGTATTCTGTTTTGTCAAGAGCTTTTTCTACATCAATTGAGATGACCATGTAGATTTTTTTCTTCATTCTATTAATGTGCTGTATTACATTGCTCATATTCCTTATGTTGAACCACCCTTGCATTCATGAAATAAATCCCACTTGAACATAGTATATAATTCTTTTAAAATACTGTTGAATTCAATTTCTTAGTATTTTGTAGGATGTTTGTATTATATTCATAAAAGATATTGTTCTGTAGTTTTCTATTCCTGCCTGTGATGTTTCATTTGTCTTTATATTAGGGTAATACTGGCCCCATAAAATGAGTTAGGAGGTGTTCCTTCCTGTTCTGCTTTGTGGAAGAATTTCTGAAGGATTTGTGTTTATTCTTCTTTAAACAGTTCATAGGATTCTTTAAAAGTGAAAAGCCATCTGTTCCTGAGCTATTCTTTGTTGTAAGTTTTTTTGATTTTTGATTCAATCTATTTCTTTGTTATATATCTGTTACAGATTTTATATTTCTTCTTGAATTGGTTTTGATAGTTTCTGTGTTTCTAAGAATTTGCCCATTTCATCTAGGTTATCCAACTTGTTGGCATACAGTTGTTCATAGTATTCTCTTTAATCCTTTTTATATCTGTGAAATCAATAGTCGTGTCCCCACTTTCATACGTGACTTTAGTAATTTGAGTTTTTTTTTTTTTCTTGGTCAGTCTAGCTAAAGGTTTGTCAATTCTGTTGATCTTTTCAAAGAACCAGCTTTGGTTTTGTTGGTTCTTTCAGTTTTTCTGTTCTCCATTTCATTTATTTTCACTGTAATCTTTATTACTTCCTTCCTTCTTTTGGCTTGGAGTTTATTTAGTTTGCTTTTCTTTTTGTAGTTCCTTAAGATAGAAGGTTAAGGTATTACTTCGAAATCTTTTTCTTTTTTAAAGTAGATATTTGTAGATATCTTTTTTAAAGTAGATATAAATGTCCCTCCTAGCACTACTGTTGCTGGATCCGATAAGTTTTGGTATGTTGTGTTGTCATTTTCAGTCATATCAAAGTATTTTCTAATTTGCCTTGTGATTTCTTTCTTGACTGATTGTTTAAGAATGTGTTTAGTTTCATATATTTGTAAATTTCCCAATTTCTTTCTATATTTATTTCTACTTTCCTTTTGTGATGGTCAGAGAAGATACACTGTATGATTTCATTATTTTAGTGAGACTTATTTTTTGGCCTAGCATTTGATATATCCTGAAGATTATTTAATGTCCACTTGAGAAAAATGTGTATTCTACTGTTATCCAGGAGATTGTTCTCTATATAGTTTTAGGCCTAATTGGTTTATACGGTTGTAAAAATCTTCTTTTTCACTTCTCCTTCTTCTGATAAGGTATTCTATTATTAAAAGTAAAGCATTGAAGTCTTCCACTGTAATTGTTGAACTTTTTCTCTCCTCAGTATGATCAGTTTTTATTTCATGTATTTTGAGGCCCTGGTTAGGTGCATATGTGTTTATAGTTGCTGTTTTCAGGTGGATTGACTTTTTTGTTTTTGTCTCTTTTAAGACAATTTTTGTCTTAAAATCCCTTTTGTCTGATACTACTGTAGCCATTGCAGGCCTCTTTGGGTTACTGTTTGCATAGACTATTTTTTTCCATTTTTTTTATCTTCAGTCTCTTTGTGTCTTTAGATCTAAAGCACATACTTGAATCATGTTTTTTTTAATCCATTCTGCCATCCTCTACATTTTAATTAGGTAGTTAAATCTACTTATATTTAATGTAATTACTGAAAAATCAAGATTTCTTCCAGTTTTTCTGTATGTCTTTTATCTTTTTTATTCTTCATTTCTTCCATTAATTTTTTTTTAGCTAACATATTTTCTAGTGTGCCGTTTTGAATTTCCTCTCATTTTGTTATGCATATTTTTAGTTATTTTCTTAGTGGTTGCCCTATGTATTACAGTTAACATCTTAATTTATAACTATCTAGTTTAAATTAATACCAAGCTAGTTTAAATTTTATGCAAGTTCTTTGCTCCATCTCCCTTACTTATATTGTCATTTTCACAAATTATGTATTTATACATAGTGTTCCCATCAGCATAGATTTATAATTAATGTCATTTTCTTTATGTCATATAAGAAAAATACAAATATACAATCTAAAATATACATTAATACTGACTTTTATATTTACCTATGTAGAGTACCAGTGTTGTTTATTTCTATATGTGAATTCAAAATTACTGTCTAGTGTCCTTTCTTTTCAGCCTGAAGGACTTCCTTTGTCATTTCTCATAGGACAGGTCTGCTAACATAGGTAGCCAACATTTATTAAGTATTTACTACTTGGAATTGCTAGATGATTTATATGCATTATCTTATTTAACCTTTAGCAGTGAGGTAGATGCTATCATTCTCTTTTTTTAGGTAAAGGAAATGGTGACTTAAAAATATACCCATCCGTGTCCCAGCAGAAGTCATACCATACTTAGATGTATAATTGGGAAGAGTTTAATAAGAGACTATGGTTGGGCAGGTTTTTGAGAAAGCAACAAGACATAATGCAGTACCCTGGGTCTAGTTATAGTGGGAAACATTAATGCTTCTATGTCTAATGGGCCAAAGGAAGGGGGCTGCTATTGGAATCCAGAAAAGAGCTGGTAGCAGGGGTCATCTGACAGATGATGTGAATTTAGTCAATCCTATGCCTATAGAAAGAAGCCATGGGAATAAGTACCAGAGCTTATTCTTCTTCAACCCTTCAAAGTCCTGACAGTGCCTCCCATTGGCTGAATTCAACCAGAAGCCAGAGAGCTCAAAATAGCTTGTTGTTTCTATCTATATGGGTCAGCTTGGTGCAGAGAATGTGAAGAAGGATGGAGAGTGAATCTGAAAGGGAAATGGAAAAAAATCTAGGAATTAAATAACTGTTAAACAGCAGAGTCAGTATATGAGTACCACTTTACTCCTAACCGCCATGCTATACTACCTCTCATAAAAGAAGTTTCATAAAATATTATTTGGCCAGGGAAATCTTTTACATATGAAAGTTTCTATCCTATCCCAAATTGTTGGTACATTTCTTTATACTTAACAGTAAGTGAGGAGCACAAATATACAAAAGCTGAGCAGCAAAGAATGGCCAAAAAGAAAAGGTATGAGTATTGATTTTACATGTTGTTTATATTTTCAGAATATTAAACCATACTTGTTTCCCTTGTTCAGATTCCAGACTCCATCATTTCTCGTGGTGTTCAGGTGCTCCCACGAGACACAGCCTCCCTTAGCACTACTCCTTCAGAATCGCCTCGTGCTCAGGCTACATCTCGCCTTTCTACAGCTTCCTGCCCAACACCAAAAGTAAGTACAGTTCCTTGGCACCTTACACCTGCTGAAATATGTGAATCTGGGAAAGTTAATTAATATTTCCCTCTGCTTGTCAAGGTTGGATTGCATGCAAGATAATACAATGAAAAATAAACAGACTATAAGATAGTTACTACCTACTATTTAATAAATTATCATATTAGGCCAACAGTAAGGCAATAGAAATTTCATGCAAAATGTCTACTCCTACATCAGGCTATGGGTATCACTCTATATAGCTCTTGTTTCTTTGTTTTAGACTTGTTATTTTTTAGCATACTCAACAGTATAGATGTAAGTTATTTGTTTATTCAGAGGATGACTGTATTTCTGGCCAAAAAAACAGCAAGATAAACAAAATAAAATAATACCACCAAAGGGATTTTTTTTTTTTCCAACTTGTCCGGGCTGGGGTAGCACCCTGCTCTAGTATCATTCCAAAATTTTTCAAACATATTCAACTTGGAATGTTGCTGCCTAATATTTGGAAACAAATCTAAATTAATTAGAAAGTTTTAATGCCAACCTTTGGGAGACGGAGAAGGTATCTTAGTATTTATTTTTTATAACTTTTCCCAAGTACTGAGTCATGTATGGGGGAGAAAAAAGAGATTAGACATTTATTTGCTGTCTCATACCTTCGTGTTTATGATAGATTTAGTAACAAACTTAATTATGACTGACTTCTTTTTCCTGGAATGCCTCTTCCCTGGTTAAGTTAGTCATTTGCACCTTCAGGTTTTCTATGTGGTGGATCCAACATGGTCATCAAAAGGTTAACAGTAACATTCCTTCTTATTTAATAAGATATGGTGTTAGATATTCGGGTATACAGTAAATTTATTCTAGAGATTTGCAGGTAATTTTTCAAACTGAACCTTTTTCTCTGTCATCAAACTTAAGGACTTATATACCTTTTCATCAATTCCAACTTTTCTATGAGTTTTATGATGTTATAATTGGATTTAACTAGAAATTATCTCAAGCAGTTCTTGATAAGTTGCTTTTGAATTCCATGGTATGTTCTTCTCAGCAAAGTCCTCAGAATGTTACTGTTGTATATCATTTTGAGATTTGTTTAAAAAATAATTTATATTAATTCAATATTTTTAAAAATTGAGGTCCTAAATCTTCAGTGAAGAAAAATTGTAAGAACATTCTAGACACAAAATGTTTATTAATGCCATTCAAGTTCTAGTCAGCAACAAATGAAAACTGGAGTTATGAAGACTTGAATTAGAAGAATCTCATCCATGTTTTTTAAATTTTTAGAACAAAATAATTACATTATTTGCATTAAATCCCAACTGTACAAGCTGTACTCATTTATAAAATCTGGGAAATAATCAAAGCTAAAAGTTAGGTCCACTGTAAGTGTTTAATCATTCACCAAATATTAAAACCTATATGTTGGGAATACAGAGTTATCTAAAAGAAAGTAGTCTTTTCCTAAATAATGTATTGTGAACATAAATATTTTAAGTTAAATTTAATTATACATAGTAGTTATTGAGCCTTTTTAATACTTTGTAATGGCACTTTAATTACAAAACAAATATTAAATACAATTTTAACAATAGCTTGGCAATTCTAAATTACTAAAGTGAAATCCTAAAAAGAAAAGTGTGAGCATTTATCAAGTTAATTTGCTTAAAACTTAGGAGAACCAAGTGGCTTGTCTTGAAATTTTTTCCTTAATTAGCACATAGATTTTTCCAACTGATGATAAATTCAAATAAGTCAGTGCATTTAACCCTCTCTTTTTTTTGGAATTGCTTTCTGTATTTTTATCTAGGAATAAATTCTATTCCTTTCAGACAATTTTTAGCTGTACCAGAATGTATACCTCAAATATAAAATTATTGCTTTGGTATAATTTTAAAATAAAACTTTCAAAGCTGAATCAGAATATTAATACAATAAAAAATTAGTTGAATATTTATTTTTTAAATGAGTAAAGAAATCAAATTTTTCTATTAAAAGTCTTAAATTATAAGACTGCTTAGTTGAATCTAAACTAGATGCTTTTATATGTGCCTTTATATCAGCAACAGCTATAATCTCTGCCTTCATGGAGTTTACAGTTTAGTCAATGATATATTACATAAAACAAGTAAATAAACATAAATAATTCTTACAATTATAACTTCACAGTGACTTTATTTATAAATTGAAATTCATGCTATGAAAAAATGAAAAAATTATCATGATAGAACATAAGAAAGAACCTCACATAGATATGATCATCAGAGAAGGCCTCCCTAAGGAGTAACACTTCACCAGGGATGTGAAGGATGAATAAAAACAAAACCAAGGGCTTTGTGCTGGATAGAGGTTTTGAGAATTATATTCAGCAATAATGACCACGTTAAAGGTGGTTGTCAACAGGCAGTCGTCACCAATGAAAGACTCTTAGACTAAAACTTCATTACTTCATGAATAGCCTGATTCAGTGACTCAAAGTCCAATTTAAGATACCAGTTCTCTTTTATTTTAAATAATGAATTTTTTTGCCTTTGCCAACAGAGTCAAATTTCAAGGCTGTATGTTTCAGCATTTAAATCTGTTGTAGGTGAATTTTTTAGTTTAATTTTATAGCATAAAAATTTGGGGCAGCAAAGACATCAAAAAGAAAGTGAAGTTTCTAATTTGAGATATAAGTAAATGATGATGTTATTAACTATATTAAAGAATAAAAGTTAAGAAGCAAATTTTGAGGGTAAAAGAAGAGGGAGTTAATACATTTCAGTTTTGAATGTGTTCAATCTGAGATATGTATGAGACATCCCAGGAATGATAGCCAGCACAAAATTAGAAAACGCGTTGAGTTTGACACTGCTCTTTGTTACTGCATCTTGGTTGTGGTATTTATAATTTAAAACTCATTAGTGTTGTCTAAACCCCATAGAAATTTCTCTTCTGCCTTTCAGATTAGGCATGCAGTCTGTCATGTGCAGAAATATATTTGCAAATAAATTTTCTTTACATGACAAATACAATATAATACTGAATTGACTGGATAATTGAACCCTGGATTCAAACGTGGCTTCTCAACTCAATAACCACACTACATTAAGCTAGTTGCTCAGCTTCTCTTAGCTTTGTTCCTGTGATGAACTAGTAATTCTTCATCTCCAACAGGGTTTATTAATTTATTAAGTAAGTTTTGCCTGGTGTACCAAAATTAAATAAGTGTTGAGCAAGTAGACATTGTTCTTGCCTTTACAAAGAGACAAAAGAGGCAACTACAAATTATGAAAGTATTATAAGTACTATGATTTATCAGCAGGAGTAAAGAGTACTCTGGGATATCAGAAGCACTTAACCTACTCTTTGTGAAAACATCAAAGTGTTTATAACCAAATTACTATTCAGAACAGTTCCAACCTCTCCCTCTGTAACTTACCGCTCGCATACTTAGACTGAAAGATTTTCTACCATATACATGTGTTCATCTATTTCTCTTAGTCAATAGCTACAATATTAAATATTATTTTATATTCACATTTTATATATTCACTGCAATATTATATCCTAGATTGTGCTTTGATACTTTTTTAAGATTCCCCAGCTATAGTGAGAATAAGGTCCATATAATACACTGTTTGGATTTCCTTTCTAGTACACTCATTACAGTCTAACGAAGACAACCATGTATTAGCTTTTTGAAACAATTCTTTGAAGAATGGCATTCTCTCCAAACATTTATTTGCTGAAATGATTTAATATTTTATTCTATATGGGGAAAAAGTCATTTCTCTTGATTTTCTTTTAATGAAATCTGACTGAAATGGAAAATGACTTTTCACTCCTCTTGCTTTATGACACAGTGAAGTATTTTTTAAGAACAAACTTGGGATTTTAGTGATTCACTGCCCTAAATGAAATTATGCCAATCCCTAAAAACCAGATAGTATGTAGATTATATTTAAGTAAGAGTGGGCAATATCTAAAGGACTAGAGTTCTAAAATTGGTGATAGTATCCCAAAAATGGTTTGCTAAAAGGATAATTCTATAACAGATAAATTGTTTTAAAGTGAACATGATTCACAATGTACATGAGTACTGGTTTCCCATTTGGAAGGCAGCAGAAGCATCTCTGTCAGAAATCAAGAGGCCTGAGGTAGAGAATAATGACCAGAGCAAAAAGAAGAAAAAATCCAAACTTTAACTTACCATTCCCTATAGATGCCACTAAAATAGAGACTATATTTTAAAGACCAATTCAGTTATCTTTTTATCCCCTATTCATCTGAAATTTAACTTAAAAAAATAAATAAATAAATATAGTCTGTTATAACATCCCTTGTACCTTAAAGGTTAGAATAGAATTTTGTGACCAGACTAACCAGCAAGTTATTTTTTTTTTCTCTTGGGAACAAAATATGAACATAATAAAAACCAAAGTTTGTAAAATGATTAAAAAGTACATGTATTGAAGTATCTTTTTACAAAGGATGTGTTCATTCAATATACTTATGTCTAATTTTATATTCAAACAAAATGAGTTATGACTTCTCTAAGTTTCAGTTATTGTCTTTGAGCAAAAGAATTTAGATTCCTCTGGATAAAAAATGTTATTTTTCTTAACTCACAGTCTTTAATGTGTATGTCTAAAAGGCAGTGTGATTTCCTCTACATATAAAAATGGCATTATTGATCCAATATTTGGATAATATTCCCTCTGAAATTTTTTCATAATGATGTTAATTTTTATAAGCTATTCAAAGTATTATCATTACTTTCCTTTGTGATCACCAGGGTGATTATGTGATATGGCTAGTTCATTGGTTCTAAACTTGAGGTTCCCAAGTCTCTGGAGAATACCACTGCAGATTATTTTCCTCTATTTTTAAAAGCCTAAACAAAGTCGGTAAGACTACACTATCATCAAGTTTCTCTACTTTTGCCTGAAAATTATATCAATTTTGGTATATCAACACCTGTTTACCTATTAATGAAATTACAGTTTTATGGGCTCTACATGTAGAGT